GATTGATGATTGATGATTGATGATGATGATGATGGTGATGGTGATGGTGATGGTGATGGTGGTGATGATGGTGATGGTGATGGTGATGGTGATGGTGGTGATGGTGATGATGATGATGATGATGATGATGATGATGATGATGATGATGATGATGATGATGATGATGATGATGATGATGATGATGATGATGATTGATGATTGATGATGATGATGATGATGATGCATGGTGATGGTATCCCCATTTCTTTGATGGTGATGGTGATGGTGGTGATATGTTATTTAACATATACTACAAACAAAAAGTATGGGAACACCTTAAAATTTGATAGTCATATATAAACTGAAACGTGGTGAGGTCATTTATACTCTAAGGTAAATGCAACTTTTTGTGTGCTAATGGGCACTTTAAACGACATGTTGGAACATGAAGTGAAGCAACTGATTCAATATTCGTTGAGTTTGAGTGAAATGAAACATTGTCAAAAACAGCGAAAAACAAGGGTGCTGAGGCCAAAAATTTTTTTATGTCCGTTTCCTATTACATGCTTTTTAAAAATAGGGTAGGTGGGCCTGTTTTATCTTTTTGTTTGTACTTTTATTTTATTTAATAGTGGCAACAGGTGGGCACCTGAGGTCTTCAAGAGTACCATATCATGCAGTGACAATGCCTTATGATTAAACATTGAAAGATTTCTATATCAAATCATTATTCATGTTTTTATTTGCAGGTTTGGTCAATGAGGACCCATTATGCCAATTCAATGCAATCCATTTTAGCCCTACGTACACTGAAAAACATGAAAATATCAAACTCGATTTAGTTGAAAATGATGAATTGAAATGCACTCCAGGCATGATATCGACTTCGTTAAAAAACGATTTAGGTTCGGGGGTTGGGGTTGGGGTGGTGGTGGTGGTGGTTAGGATTGGGTCAGTTGGGTTACCGGAAACAGACATATTTTTTTGGGCCTGAAACACGCCAGCACCAGACCTCACCATGTTTAAGTTTATATATGACTATCAAATTTTAGGGTGTTCATTTACTTTTTGTATGTAGTATGTTATATTTGTTCAATTGTGTTCAAGCAGGAGCCAGACTATAAAAAACCCAAACCAAACAATTATTATTGTGATCGAAAAACACAAGATTGAAACATTTGAACGAGTGAAAAGTCAATATGCTAATACGCTGGGTTCTGTTATGTTTGTCAGAATTATTTAACCACAGTCCTTGACCTTATTTTCAAGGTCACTACGACACTTTGACCTCTTTTCAAACTCTTGTTGACACGTTATCTCATGGACTGTTTTACCCAATGTCTTCAAATTTGGTGACAGCCTATATTGGGGGATTACGCAGTATATATGTTATAGATATTCCATTCTTTTAGCGCCGGGGGACATTGCCATATCAGTGGCGAACACTTGTTTGGTTTGGTTGGTTGGTTGGTTTGTTGTTTAACATTCCAGCGGTCTGTAAATAATCCAGTCTGGACCAGACAACCCAGTGATCACAACAACATGAGCGTCGATCTGCGCAATTGGGATACGATGATGTGCGTCAACCAAGTCAGTGAGCCTGACTACCTGTTAGTCACATCTTACAATGATCACAGGACTGTCAGGTCCAGACTGGATTATATATAGACATATAGCTGGAAAATTGCAGTGTATGGCGTTTAACAATAAACAAGCAATGCAAAACAAGCTGGAGTTTATACTGCCACTCTATTGAACACTTCAATTGTAATTGCTTTAAAGTTCTTAGCATTGATTTATAAACCTGGTCAGTTTTATAATTTCATAATTGCTGATAATATTCATTTTATAATGACCACCTCTGTGGTGTAGTGGTAGAGAGTCCGCCCGGAGAGTGGATGGTCGTGGGTTCGAACCCATGGCCGTCTCATACCAAAAACTGTTAAAATATGGTACTTGTTGGTCCCTGCCTGGCGCCCGGCATTAATGGGTACAACAAGGAGTGGTTGGCTCAGAGTCAGAATAATGTGTCTGAGTGGGGTATTCATGCTTATCTGCGGCATGGTATCTCAGTGAGCTAGCACTATAAAACCAGCTTAAAGGTCACATGCAACGTAAAACACAACTTTGCAGATTCTGATACCTTTCAGTATGGACTTACCGAAACAAAGCGTCAAAAATGCAAATTCAACTTATAAAGTTGAAAAATAACGCGATGAAAAAAACCGCACGAAATCGGAGTTCAAACGTTTCACTAATTTTCCCCAGACTTTTCTGGGGAATACGGGATTCAACAGCTGGGCTGCGCTCATAGCACGTGCGCAGTGAAATAGGTTCGCGCAACTTGGAAGCGGGCTGTCTGGTGAATACTCTGTGAAGGCTTTGGTGTGAGCCATTTTATAATGTTTTGTTGATATCTCACAGGCGCCGAGCTTTTATATGTTATGACAGTAAATAAACTGTTTATATAATTTCATTTGTCTATTTCACCACACGTTCTTCTTACCGAGTCACTTTCTCAGTTAGATACTTAAAAGCAATGCCATTATTTAGCGTTGACACAATTTCTAACTGTGATATAGATGTGTCGCTGTCACAGACAAAACTCAATGTCTTGTTTTATTGACACCTGTGTGTCTGCCTGCCTGTCTGCTAATGACAATAATCAATACACAACTGCGATCACTGACCACATGCAATTTGAACTTAACACCAATCAGGCTATACACCATAAACAAAACGCATTGATTTATGGCCCGAGTTTGGTCTCTGTCACATTATGTAATTACACAGACAGGCAGGTGTGATACTTGAACACATGACATGTTATGATGTCTGTTGATTGCAAAATGTTATACACAAAAAATGAGCATGTATTTACAAAACCCAACATCTCTATATATACACACACAATGAGCTGTGAAGGCGGCATCTGCTAATGAACCAGCCGTTTCACTTGAGTGCACACCCACCAGCTCTGACTGGGTTCCGTATCCCGGCTGCTTCGTTTCGAGGGAGGTAAACCCAAGTACAAAATATTGCACTTTTGATTTGCGATTATACGCTTATAATTTTGTTTATTTGTTTTTTCATAATCAGCAATGCATGTTATATGTCATGAAGAAGTGATAATTGTGTTTTAATTATGTTTGATTTTTTGGTTGCATGTGACCTTTAAGTCTGGGCTAGTACAAGCAGCCACACATACACTCACATGCACGTCGTCATATGAGCGAAATATTCTCAAGCACAACATTAAACCCACTTTCACCTTACCTCACCTTTAATAGCATTGATTTATAAACCTGGTCAGTTTTATAATTTCATAAGTACTGATCATATTCATTTTATAACGACCGCCTCTGTGGTGTAGTTGTAGAGCATCCGCCCGGAAAGCGGAAGGTCATGGGTTAAGATGTTAAAATATGGTACTTGTTGGTCCCTGCCTGGTGCTCGGCATTAATAAGTACAACAAGGACTGGTCGGCTCGGAGTCAGTATAATTTGTCTCAATGGGTTATTCATGCTTAACTGCGGCATGGTATCTCACTGAGCTAGCTTAAGTCGCCCTTAACCCCATTTCATCTTTATCGTTGTATAACATTTCATTGTTATGTGTAGGTTTCACTCTGAATCATTTTGTTTATATATTTCTGGGTTCATTTACTGCTTCCTCTTGGGAGTTGATATATAAGGTTACATATTTTGTATCATGACTAAAGGTCAAAGTTTATTGTTGGGTTACCATGGATACCTGGTTGTTAGTTTCCTTGTCCAGATAAAACTGGTTTGATGTATTTACAGAACATGTACACGTCATCATAATTCATATTTACTTTTATCTGTTTCAGATATTTTTGACCTTTTCCCTTGAGGGGTTCGCCAGTGGTGGTTTGAAGTACAACATTAAGGGTCCATATTGGCATCACGTGTGTATCTCTGAAAACAATAAGGAACGTGAATTTGTGTTTAAACTTGAGAAAGGTCAACAAGGTGATATCTTTACACAGAAGGTCAAGGACGTTCTTCATATATTGGAACAAGGTCATGTGACACGCCAGCATGATACAGAAACAGGTGAGTGAGTGAGTGAGGGAGTGAGTGAGGGAGTGAGTGAGGGAGTGAGTGAGTGAGGGAGCGAGCGAGTGAGTTTTAAACCATGTCAAACCTCACTGCTCGTCATACCCTGATGGTTCTGATCATTCTTCAGGTTTTCGCCCTTATTTATAAATTCATAACACACCTTTGTGATAAAACTGTATTCTTGCTGACTGTTGAATTAAACAAAACATATGTATTTAAAGAACACAAGCATCCTGTCAACAGTATCACTCCATTGGACAAAGGTGTAGCTTAGGGGTTAAATCGTTTGCTCATTGCCGCAAAGACATGGATTCGATTCCCCACATGGCTACAGTGTGTGAAGCTCATTTTGGGTGTACCCTGCCACGATACTGAAACTATACATACTCTCTCGACTTCTATTAGTGTAGACATGTCAAATTATAACAGGAACATTTTTCACCAAGTAGTTTCATGTGACGTGTGTTTATAAGTGGTGATTTATGAGTAATGGTCCCAGGATTACTGCTATTTTAATATCTCACCGGTGGTTAAAGCAGAAAACCTGGGTTTGATTCCTCACATGTTCAAAGCCCATTTGCTCGGTTGCAAATATGTTATTGCTGGAATATTGCTACATCATTCTTATTTTATTGTTGAATAAAAAAATATATTTTATGGGTAAAAATCTTATGGGACTGTATGCTTAGATGACATGCACCAGTCCACATGTCATTATAGACAAGGGTGTGTGAATTAGCATTGATTTTAATATTTCTAAATGTTGTTGCATTTGAAGAATTGAGGGCACTCTGTGAGAAGATCCCAGCTAAAAACAAGGCTGACTCAATATTTTATGTAATTTCTCCAGAGATAGCCAAAGAAAAGTTCCCAGCTGTATTCTTTTACAAAAGAATGGATGATCCGTCGATGCAGAGCGGGTTGCCACGGGGGATGCAACCCACCCCACCCGAACACTTGAGAAAGATCCTTGAACTTCTACAGGCGGCCATCTTGGCTGGTGACGGTGAACGAGCCAAACAGATCGCCCATCGGCTGGCAGTGGAGAAAGTTAAACTGGATATTAAAGTGGATGAAACCGAGATAGAGAGAAGGAGGAATGAGCCAAGCATCAGGTGAGGAACCTTTGCCGTGTGAATATAACTCCTTGGTACTTGAGTGAGTTTAGTTTTACATCAGACAACAATATTCCAGCTATAGGGCGGTGATCTGTAAATAATCGAGTCTGTACCAGACAATCCAGTGATCAACAGCATGAGCATCGATCTGCGCAATTGCGAACTGATGACGTGTGTCAACCAAGTCAGCGAGCCTGACCACCCGATCCCGTTAGTCACCTCTTATGCCTTGTTACTTGATGATTGTTGTCATGTCAAACTATGATTTGATGTGATACAGATGTCCCATGGTATGATGCAGAACTTGATACAGAAGCCACATTATGAAACATATCTCTGATGGTGCTTAGTATTGTACAAAGAGTCCTGGGCTTGTTTCACAAGCTATCGTAGCGCTACGACTGTCGTACCTCCTATACTGTAACATAGACTTATGGTCACAAATCAGTTAAAGAATGAATAAACTTTTTTGTTTTGTACACTTTTGACCATTACATATGAAAGACTTGTGGTTTGCCTTCAGCGGAACACCAAATTCATTCTTAAAAAACTTGTGGTTAATTAATGCCGAAAAAGCCGAAAAAGCCATCTGCTTCACTCTCGCCCGCCAACGAAGCCACAAAGAGGTTACGTAACTCTGTCGCCAGAGCACTGCAGCGAACTGGAAGTGATGTTATGTGAGGAAGGATTTTCAATTAGTTGTATATAAAGTGTGTAATAAGCTCGTCATTTTGCTGATTTGTCAACGTTTTCATCGAGTAAAAAAGTCAAAACTACTTACCAGTTGTAGTCAAATATTTATATGATTGATTACCAAAAGGATTTTGCATGAACGTGTAATATAACGATTTCTTCTTCGGAAGCGAGGTTGTGGTCGAAGTGACAATAATATTGTAAGTAGTATTACATTAACACCCACCTTGCTTCCAAGAAAGAAATTGTTATGTTATAAGCTATGTCATGCAAAATCCTATTGGCCATCAATCAAATTCATATTTTACTACCAGTACAAAGTAGTTTTGATTTTGTAACTCGAAGAAAAACAAACCTAAATAGCATTTATTCTCAGACTGTCGGATGTTCGCGACAGGATGCCGCCATTTTTAAAAATCGTACGTCACGGGCAAAAGTCTGTTTGAGAATAAATGAGATTATGGTTTGTTTTCATCAAGTCAGAAAATCAAAACTGCTTTCTACTCGTAGTTAAATATGTATTTGAATCATGACCAAAAGGATTTTGCATGACACAACTTGTAACATAACGATTTCTTCCACGGAAGCGAGGTGGGAGTCGAAGTGACAATATTGTGCGATAAATTCCTTGCTACACGCCCATGGTTAACGTCCACTCACCACTATGTAGATACTAGTCGATCGTGATGAGCGAGGCTGATAATCGTTTTCACTATCACTAGCGTCTGGCTCGAACAAATAAGGCCTAGCGATTGTTTCTTCATTGAAGATTGAATGGAAAGATTGTCGCTGTCTGAATTACTTCCGGACATGTCAGAGTCTGCTTTGAATCAAAATGCCAACCCACTGAATTAACCATATTGAAATCACTTGACATAAATGGTTTAACACCCGAGTAAATTGGGGAACAAAAGCCAGACCTAGCCAACTGGTACCGGTAACCGTTATGAAAACAAGCAATTTTGACAGAATCGTCTATGAAAACAAGTTGTAACTCGGAAGCTAGGCAAAGCAGGTGAGAAGATTAATTGACAGTAGATTGTGAAAACATAATCCTCTGATTGGTTGAGAGAATTGTGCAGTGTAGTCAAAAAGGTCGATTTTAGTTAATTAAGGGTCGAAATGAGTTGTTTTAGTGACAGGGTTTGATTTATAATGATGCCATTAAATGATTTATGCATTTGTACCCCCTTAGAGTATATATGATCTTTAAGCAATGTTGGTCATGGAGAGAAAATGTGACTGTGTTTGGCACCTTGAGAGTTTCTAGGACTTCAGTCCGGCCCTACAACATGCAAGCACGTTTGTTCAAATTTGCCTCTGTTAACCCACAGTGAATGGGTACCTGGTGGGATAGCTTCTTATAGGCTAAAAGTGGCATAAATCCATACTCATTTGGTGTATAGGGTATGATACGGTGCAGAGTTTGCCGACGGTGCACCGATGAACTGCAACATCACCACTGAGCTGAATCAAACCAAAAGAGTTTGAAATATAGTGCTTGTTGTTACCCAATACCAGGCATCGAAGACAAGACATTGAGAAGGGTCTGAGAGGGGTATATTAAGTATGAAAGCAGAGTGGTATCAGAGTGGCTAGAACAGAAATACCAAAAAACCCACCCCAACCAATACATTCATGTCGTTATATAAGTATGTAAACGTAAATGTGACATAACACCCAGTATCTTATTCTTAATGATAGAACATGCCTGCTTTTGATAATTTTCAACAGATCCTTGCCATCTGAGTGAGTGAGTGAGTGAGTGAGAGAGTGTGTGCGTGCTGTACTGGACAATATTGCTATAATGTCACAGCAGCTCAGCTTGACATGGGAAGAAATCCAGAGGTGATGAGGGTCATAGACGATAACATTTTCTGTGAAAATTATAAGCAGGGGTATGGTGTTGGCGAACACGAACATTAATCCCACAACACCAGATTTGGTTTCTGGCATGTCAAAGGGAAGCAACTCTACACACTCAATGGCAACACTGTAGTCAGCTCTGAACTCCTTAATCAGTCGTCAAATTGTCATTCATGATGGTCTGGAATGACGTGTATATATGTTGTTGTGTTGATTTCAGTGTAAAGGTCCATGTAGAGGATCGAGAGACATCCGGCTGCCCTGTCAACCTGAAAGTGAAGCCTTCGGATACCATAGGGGACCTCAAGAGAAAGGTATTAACATACTGTAGGGGACCTCAAGAGAAAGGTATTCAGATACTGTAGGGGACCTCAAGAGAAAGGTATTTACGTACTGTAGGGGACCTCAAGGGAAAGGTATTTACGTACTGTAGGGGACCTCAAGAGAAAGGTATTTACGTACTGTAGGGGACCTCAAGGGAAAGGTATTTACGTACTGTAGGGGACCTCAAGGGAAAGGTATTTACGTATGCACTGTAGGGGACGCCAAGGGAAAGGTATTTACTTCCCTCAGGGAAAGGTATTTACGCATTAAAGGGAGGGGAAAGAAAGGTATTTACGTACTGTAGGGGACCTCAAGGGAAAGGTATTTACGTACTGTAGGGGACCTCAAGGGAAAGGTATTTACGTACTGTAGGGACCTCAAGGGAAAGGTATTTACGTACTGTAGGGGACCTCAAGGGAAAGGTATTTACGTTGTAGGACGCTCATAGGGGACCTCAAGGGAAAGGTATTTACGTACTGTAGGGGACCTCAAGGGAAAGGTATTTACGTACTGTAGGGGACCTCAAGGGAAAGGTATTTACGTACTGTAGGGGACCTCAAGGGAAAGGTATTTACGTACTGTAGGGGACCTCAAGGGAAAGGTATTTACATACTGTAGGGGACCTCAAGGGAAAGGTATTTACGTACTGTAGGGGACCTCAAAGGGAAAGGTAAGTAGGGGACGCCAGGTATTTACGTACTGTAGGGGACGCGTCAAGGGAAAGGTATTTACGCACTGTAGGGGACCTCAAGGGAAAGGTATTTACATACTGTAGGGGACCTCAAGGGAAAGGTATTTATGTACTGTAGGGGACCTCAAGAGAAAGGTATTCACATACTGTAGGGGACCTCAAGAACCATATTACCCATTTTTTAGCCATGCTATGAATTGTGACATTTTCAATGCTCTAATTCCATAGAATAGAATAATCTACTATTTATGGTGTTTTGTAACACTGATATAGCATTTCACTTTTACAAGCATCTGTTCATTCTTGTCTTACTTCATATTTAATATCAGCTGAAGACTTTAGGAATCAGAAGTGTGTATGTGATCACCGCATTGGTGTCTGTAAAATGTCTAAATGAAAATTGATCCAGTTGTAAACATGGTTGCCATATCAGCCATATTGAAAATGGTTGATTGGTTGGTTGTTTAACGCCTTACCCTGTCTGTACATAATGGAGTCAGAACCAGACAATCCCAGAGCTCCAGATAAGATTTACCTCATGTGGGTACTTTACCCACGGTATTTTTTTGGAGTGGGTATTATGAATGTTGAGTGGGTATTTCATTTTCCGTTACCCACTGCTTTCAAATATGTGCGTATTTCAGTCATTTTACTCACCTAAGTATATGTCATTGAGTAAGTTAAATAGGCAGGTATGTTCTGCCTTATGTCATACCTAATCAAAACCAACTTAAATATAATGGAAATGATTTCATAAAATATCACTCATCCCATACTAACAGTACAACTTGAGAGCAATCGATGTCTTTTTCATTACGCATGCCGATTTTATGAAATATTCCGTACGATTTGTTTTAAACTTTTGCGTGTTTATCATTTTAAATGCGTAATTGGTACGCAACAATTATTTTTCAATGCTTAATTGGAAATTTTATATGCGTATTTTACCTGGATACGCAGCTTATCTGGGCCTCTGCAATCCATTGATCAACAGTATGAGCATTGATCTACACAAATAGGACAGGATGACATGTGTAATATTGAAAATGTCATGTTCATGCAATACGCACCTGTTCTTTACTGTTTGTTTATGAAATCGTCACAAGCAGTCAACAGGAATGAGATGTACTGTATGACCAGTCAAAATATTCTTCCTAAATTGTGAGTTTTTCTTTTCGTATAGATGTTTCTTGAATATGAGTTCCCTGTGGAGGTCCAGAGGTGGATAATCGGGAGGAAGATCCCCCAAGACCGAGATACCCTCCACCGATGCAACATCCGCTCATCGGGCCACACCGTGTATCTGTACCTGGCCACTGCCAGATCTGTCAACCTGGAACCCAACCAGATGGATACGAGTAAGATATCACTACACTGATCTCTGTCTCTGTAGGTTAGAGCAAAGTCGTCAAGTTGAGGAAAATAAACCCAAATCTACTTTCATAAATAGGCTGGCTACCTGCTGTCAGCCGCCTGTAGAATGCAACGTCATAGAAGAAATGTGACGTCATAGCATTGTTCATGATGTCACATCACCATCACAAAGTGATATTTTGCCCTAGGGCATCCTGAGATGCCAACCCATACGATTTTATCGTATCGTAAAACAACACAAAATACACTACTACGATAGCAGTAAAAATATATGAATTTTTAAAAATAATACATTAAATTAAATTATCAGAATAATACGTACCATTTATTCAGTATCAAGCAATATATGGATACTTACTACTGATTTTGGTGAGTACAATGTCAATAACAAGGTCTTAGACAATATATTTACATGTTGTCTTTAATATGAAAATTCTTTGGAAAAGTTAATACTAATTTTGGCAAAAAATACTCATTTTTGCATCGATTTTTGGCCGAAATACTAATTGGGCTATATTAGGGTTGGCATCTCTGGGCATTGTATGAAAAATATGAACCCCTATATTTTTGTCCTCGTAGATAATAAAGTAGGATATGACTACACTGACCTGTGCCTCTGGTTGTTAAAGTTAGATATGATTACCTCTGTCTCTATGACCTGTGCCGTGTGTGGTAATGGAGGATATGACCTCTGTCTGTGTGCGTTGAAGTAAGATATGACCTCTGTCTGTGTGTGGTAATGGAGGATATGACCTCTGTCTGTGTGCGTTGAAGTAAGATATGACCTCTGTCTGTGTGCGTTGAAGTAAGATATGACCTCTGTCTGTGTGTGGTAATGGAGGATATGACCTCTGTCTGTGTGAAGTGTATGACCTCTGAAGTAAGTAAGATATGACCTCTGTCTGTGTGGTAATGGAGGATATGACCTCTGTCTGTGTGTCTGTCCCCCGTTGAAGTAAGATATGACCTCTGTCCATGTGTGGTGGTAATGGGGATATGACCTCTGTCTGTGTATGAAGTAAGATATGACCTCTGTGTGCGTTGAAGTAAGATATGACCTCTGTCTGTGTGTGGTAATGGAGGATATGACCTCTGTCTGTGTGCGTTGAAGTAAGATATGACCTCTGTGTCCGTTGAAGTAAGATATGACCTCTGTCCATGTGTGGTAATGGAGGATATGACCTCTGTCTGTGTGCGTTGAAGTAAGATATGACCTCTGTCTGTGTGCGTTGAAGTAAGATATGACCTCTGTCTGTGTGTGGTAATGGAGGATATGACCTCTGTCTAAGGTCATTAAAATGAAAGCAAGATATCACTACACTGACCTCTGTCTTTGTGTTAATGAGACTTCCTGTATGCTACATCCCTGGGAGAAGGCGATGTTATAGATCTGTATGCTACATTCTATATTGAAGATCTGTAGGATATGTTCTATGTTGCAGATCTGTAGGATATGTTCTATGTTTGAGGGGATATATTATGTTGCCATGGTTACATATCTGTATGAAATATTTTATGTTTCAGTGAACACATTAGGACGAACTCCTCCAGAGATGAGTGGGGGTGAGTGTTTAGTGAAATCCATTGATTAATACACCAGCTTCATTTTCTTCTGCAGTATCAACATACTGAGTCACATGAAAGAACACTTCAAGAAATTACCCCCAAAAGTATCTCCATATATCTGTGCCTTCGAGGCTAGCAGTGTTGGGAATTGGTTAAAACCTCATAATTGATGATTTTTTCATTACAACCAATCAATCATCGAAAAAGATTGGTTTGCTTCATTTTGCAAATTTTCCCGTTATGTTTGTTAATGGACAAAATTCATTTGCGAATTTTTTGCAAATTTACAAAATGCATTTGCAAATTTCAAATCTTTAAAGGATTACTAGTATGTTAGGAACATAACTTTCCTGGAGTCATTAAGATAAATTCAGTCATGACTTGGAATGAGCTTGTAGTGCTTATGAAATGTAAAGTTAATGACACAGAGAAATCAACCTTGTGAACAATATTGTAAATGCAAACAAGTGTTCAAAAATAGTCTGTGTTCGATTTTGAGATGATACGATCGATTGCTTGGTCGTTTAGTCACTGTGACCAATCTTCAATTGTTTCAATTAATCGGACCCCCACTAAAGGCTAGAGTTTGAACATAATATTTATATTTATGGTCGCTGTTTCACGATGTGGACACCTGTTGGAAGATCCAGGTTGGAATTAGCCTTCAACAGCCCATGCTTGTTGTAAGAGGCAACTAATTGGATTGGGCAGTCAAACTTGGTGACCTTGTTGATACATGTCATTATGTCCCAATCCTGTAGGGGGCTGTGGGGTAGCCTAGTGGTTAAAGCGTTCGCTCGTCACGCCGAAGACCCGGGTTCGAATCCCCACATGGGTACATTGTGTGAAGCTCATTTCTGGTGTCCCCCGCCGTGATGTTGCTGGAATATTGCTAAAAGCGGCGTAAAACCAACTCACTCACCCAATCCTGTAGCTCGATACTCATAATGTCAGTCACTGAATTGTTTGGTCCAGACTGTATTGTTTGTTTTACCGACCGTTGTCACATGGCTGGAAAGCAACCTCACACAAATGAACTTGAAATAAAATCACTCATAGTAACAATGACATTTCCCATGCTTCTCTACTTCATACTCGTGCTTAAAGTTAACTTTGGAATATCACATTCATTGGCACTTTCTTTCTTTGAATTTTGCTTTCATCAAAAGTTTTTATGATCTGTAATTTTGGATGAGGACTGATAGTTTTCCCTTATTACTGCTTGCCATGATAGCATGTCCAAGTTACGTATTGTTGGACAAAATCTTCTGAATTTATGTGCTTTGGAGTATTGCATTGTTTTGTTGTTTAACGCTGCATTATTGTGTTTTTAAATTAGAGGTAGTATCACAGATTAATGATAGCTCTAAACTATATTGAAATCCAAATGCATGCAATATTTTAGTTACATGAAAGCAGACTCTAAATTATTGTATCTGGACCACATAATCCAGTGATTTATATAATCAGCATTGATCTTATGCAACTAGGATTTCCGATTCTATGGCATGCATCAACCAAGTCAGCCTGCGTGACCTCCAGATGCTGAAAATCAACTGTAACGGTGATTTTCATTGGTTATTGGCTTGTAAATATGTCCCAAAGGATGTTGCTAATGTGTTTACATTCTGTTGCAGATTACATGACCATGGCTAATTTCCGACAGTCCCAAAGGGGTCAAGGAGGTGCAGTTCAAAGGTCAAGTAGGCCACCCAGCAGACAACAGTCAAATGTCTCCACTGGCTCAGGAAGCACACCCTCACAATTTTCAGAAGCTGCCAGCCCCGAGTCTTTTGTTGACCCTTTACGTGCATCAGGATCAGTGCCCTCTTCAAGACCAAATAAAGGACTAAGTCTGAATGTAGGCAGAGGTCAAGCACAATTTCAGAGTTTTGGAAGAGGTCAAGGACAATTTCAGAGTTCTGGAAGGGGTCAGGGTCAAAATGTTGGCAGAGGTCAAGCACAAGGTGGTGGCAGAGGTCAAGGTCAATTTCCAGGAATGGGTAGAGCTCATGGTCCAATTCATAGTCCACCAGAATTTTTGGAGGAACACGTTTTGATTAGCTCCAGCCCTCCAGGAGCTACAGGTGGAGGTGTACAGTCAGCCGTCTCTCCTGAGTCATCAGCAGAGGTAAGGGCGTGAAGTTGAACTCTCATACAGAGATTATTAGCAGAGTGTTTTATTACCTTATATCTTATTTATATTAAAAGAAAATTTGTATGATGTGGTCCTTCCTCTATTTTGTACAATCTGTGGCACTCCATGTTGTTGGTTTTGAATCGAGCTGTCTGTCTGCATGTCAAACTATTCTCATGACGTCTTGATTGTTTTCAGATTGGTTGGCAGTGTCCAGCATGTACATTTATAAATAAACCAACACGCCCTGGGTGTGAGGTTTGTGGAGGTGATCGGCCCCCTGACTATGAGGTTCCTATTGGTTACATCATGACCAAGGAGGAGCTGTGCTGGTTGGCTGACAGAGAAGATCAGGAGAGGCTGGTGCAGGAGGTCAGTACTTACAGGAGTGAGGGGGTCAGTACTTACAGGAGTGAGGGGGTCAGTACTTACAGTAGCGACGGGGTCAGTTCTTACAGGAGCAGGGGGTACTTACAGGAGTGAGGGTCAGTACTTACAGGTGGAGCAGGGGTCAGTTCTTACAGGAGGGAAGGGGTCAGTGCCTCACAGGAGTGAGGGGAGTCAGTACTTACAGGAGTGAGGGGGTCAGGCCGAGGGGATCACTTACAGGAGCCCAGGGGTCGAGTACTTACAGGGCCACAGGGGTCAGTACTTACAGGAGGGGGGGGTCAGTACTTACAGGAGGGAGTCAGTACTTACAGGAGTCAGTACAGTACTTACAGGAGGAGGGGGTCCAGTACTTACAGGAGTGACTTTACAGGAGGGCAGTACCAGGGTGAGGGGTCAGTACTTACAGGAGGTCAGTACTTACAGGAGGGAGGGGGTCAGTACTTACAGGAGGAGAGGGGGTCAGTACTTACAGGAGTGAGGGGGTCAGTACTTACAGGAGGGAAGGGTCAGTACTTACAGGAGTGAGGGTCAGTACTTACAGGAGTGAGGGGGTCAGTACTTACAGGAGGGAGGGGTGAGTACTTACAGGAGGGAGGGGTCAGTAAGGGGTGGAACACAGGAGTGAGGGGTCAGTACTTACAGGAGGGAAGGGGTCAGTACTTACAGGAGTGAGGGGGGTGAATACTTACAGGAGGGAAGGGGTCAGTACTTACAGGGTGAGTCAGTACTTACAGGAGTGAGGGGTCAGTACTTACAGGAGTGGGGGGTCAGTACTTACAGGGTGGGGGTCAGTACTTACAGGAGGAGGGGTCAGTACTTACAGGAGTGTGGGGGTCAGTACTTACAGGAGTGAGGGGGTCAAACTTACAGGAGTGGAGGGTCAGTACTTACAGGAGTAGGGGTCAGTACTTACAGGTGTGAGGGGGTCAGTACTTACAGGAGTGAGGGGGTCAGTACTTACAGGAGTGAGGGGTCAGTACTTACAGGAGGAAGGGGGTGAATACTTACAGGAGTGAGGGAATAAGTACATTACAGGGAGGTGAGGGGGTGAATACTTACAGGAGTGAGGGGGTCAGTACTTAAAGGAGGGAGGGTCAGTACTTAGAGGAGGGAGAGGGGTCAGTACCCACAGGAGGAAGGGGGTCAGTACTTACAGGAGTGAGGGTCAGTACTTACAGGAGTGAGGGTCAATACTTATAGGGAGTGGGGGGGAGGAGTACTTACAGGAGTGAGGGGTCAGTACTTACAGTAGTGGGGGTCAGTACTTACAGGAGGAAGGGGGTGAATACTTACAGGGTGGGGATGAGTACTTACAGGAGGAAGGGGTGAATACTTACAGGAGTGAGGGGTCAGTACTTACAGGAGTGAGGGGGTCAGTACTTACAGGAGGGAGGGGGTCAGTACTTAGAGGAGAGGGAGGGGGTCAGTACTTACAGGAGGAAGGGGTCAGTACTTACAGGAGTGAGGGGTCAGTACTTACAGGAGTGAGGGGGTCAGTACTTACAGGAGGGAGGGGGTCAGTACTTACAGGAGTGAGGGGGTCAGTACTTACAGGAGTGAGGGGTCAGTACTTACAGGAGGGAGGGGTCAGTACTTACAGGAGTGAGGGGTCAGTACTTGGGAGTGAGGGGTCAGTACTTACAGGAGTGAGGGGTCAGTACTTACAGGAGTGAGGGTCAGTACTTACAGGAGTGAGGGGTCAGTACTTACAGAGTGAGGGGTCAGTACTTACACAGGAGTGAGGGGTCAGTACTTACAGGAGGGAGGGGGCAGTACTTACAGGGTGAGCAGGTCAGTACTTACAGGAGGAAGGGGTCAGTACTTACAGGAGGAAGGGGGTCAGTACTTACAGGAGGAAGGGGTCAGTACTTACAGGAGTGAGGGAGTGAGTACTTACAGGGAGGAAGGGTCAGTACTTACAGGAGGAAGGGGGTCAGTACTTAGAGAAGGGGGAGGGGTCAGTACTTACAGGAGGGAGGGGTCAGTACTTACAGGGGGAGGGGGTCAGTACTTACAGGAGGAAGGGGGTCAGTACCCACAGGAGGAAGGGGTCAGTACTTACAGGAGTGAGAGGGTCAGTACTTACAGGAGGAAGGGGTCAGTACTTACTGGAGGAAGGGGTCAGTACCCCACAGGAGGAAGGGGTCAGTACTTACAGGAGTGAGCAGGTCAGTACCCACAGGAGGAAGGGTCAGTACTTACAGGAGGAAGGGTCAGTACTTACAGGAGGAAGGGGCCAGTACTTACAGGAGGAAGGGGTCAGTACTTACAGGAGTGAGGGAGTCAGTGCCTACAGGAGGAAGGGTCAGTACTTACAGGAGGAAGGGGTCAGTACTTACAAAGAGGAAGGGGAGTCAGTACTTACAGGAGGAAGGGGTCAGTACTTACAGGAGGAAGGGGGTCAGTACTTACAGGAGTGAGGGGTCAGTACTTACAGGAGGAAGGGGGTCAGTACTTACAGGAGGAAGGGGGTCAGTACTTACAGGAGTGAGGGTGTCAGTACTTACAGGAGGAAGGGGGTCAGCACTTACAGGAGTGAGCAGGTCAGTACTTACAGGAGGAAGGGGGTCAGTACTTACAGGAGGAAGTGGTTCAGTACTTACAGGAGGAAGGGGGTCAGTACTTACAGGAGTGAGGGAGTCAGTACTTACAGGAGGAAGGGGGTCAGTACTTACAGGAGGAAGGGGGTCAGTACTTACAGGAGGAAGGGGGCCAGTACTTACAGGAGGAAGGGGGTCAGTACTTACAGGAGTGAGGGAGTCAGTACTTACAGGAGGAAGGGGGTCAGTACTTACAGGAGGAAGGGGTCAGTACATACAGGAGTGAGGGGGTCAGTACTTAGAGGGGGGAGGGGGTCAGTACTTACAGGAGGGAGGGGTCAGTACTTACAGGAGGAAGGGGGTCAGTACTTACAGGAGGGAGAGGGGTCAGTACTTACAGGAGGGGGGGTCAGTACTTACAGGAGGAAGGGGTCAGTACTTACAGGAGGAAGGGGGTCAGTACTTACAGGAGGAGCAGGTCAGTACTTACAGGAGGAAGGGGTCAGTACTTACAGGAGGAAGGGGCCAGTACTTACAGGAGGAAGAAGGGTCAGTACTTACAGGAGGAAGGGGTCAGTACTTACAGGAGTGAGCAGGTCAGTACTTACAGGAGGAAGGGGTCAGTACTTACAGGAGGAAGGGGCCAGTACTTACAGGAGGAAGGGGTCAGTACTTACAGGAGTGAGGGGTCAGTACTTACAGGAGGAAGGGGTCAGTACTACAGGAGGAAGGGGTCAGTACTTACAGGAGTGGGGTCAGTACTTACAGGAGGAAGGGGTCAGTACTTACAGGAGGAAGGGGTCAGTACTTACAGGAGTGAGGGGTCAGTACTTACAGGAGGAAGGGGTCAGTACTTACAGGAGGAAGGGGTCAGTACTTACAGGAGTGAGGGGTGTCAGTACTTACAGGAGGAAGGGGTCAGCACTTACAGGAGTGAGCAGGTCAGTACTTACAGGAGGAAGGGGGGTCAGTACTTACAGGAGGAAGGGGTCAGTACTTACAGGTGTGAGGGGTCAGTACTTACAGGAGTGAGGGAGTCAGTACTTACATGAGGAAGGGGGTCAGTACTTACAGGAGGAAGGGGGTCAGTACTTACAGGAGGAAGGGGGTCAGTACTTACAGGAGTGAAGGGGTCAGTACTTACAGGAGGAAGGGGGTCAGTACTTACAGGAGTGAGGGGGGTCAGTACTTACAGGAGGGGAGCATGAGAAGAGGATTGTAGGCGAGTGTGAGGATTGAATGAGAGCTGGAGTTTGACAGTTTACGTTGAGAGTGTAGAAGTTGAGAGGGGTTAAAAGAGCGTGAGATCCAGTGATCGAGGTTATGGGAGTCGGTAGTTGGGGTTGTGTGAGTTAGGTGGAGAGGTTGGGTTTCAGAGGTGAAATGAGGGCATGCATCAGGTATCAGATGTTGATACTACTGACTCCATTACTTTTCTATGAAGAGAGGAAACACCCCTGGAGTGGGAGGACATATGTCTGAATGCTGAACATATGTCTGCGGTTTTTTTCTCTGTTTATGATCACTTGGACTGAAGGTTCTAGTGGTGATATTACTGTGTCCTACATTAACCCACAGGAACAAGCTGCTCACATACATCGTCAATATTGATCACTACTATTATTGCTTTTATCAGAATTTAGTACGTTGTGTTTAATTAATCTGATCACATGACAAAGAAAGACATTTGTGGCATGAAGGAAAGAAGAAGGCTGGATTGGATGAAAGAATATGACAAATGAAAGGAAGGAAGAAATAGACATGGGAGAGAGATAGAACTTGTCAGTGCAAAAGGGAAAGTCCACAAAGAATGATCTTGGAACTCTTCAAGTGAAGGAAACAAAAAAAATGGAGTTTCCTGACCACTAGTGTTTTTGATTATTTTCATAAACTTAAACACTTATCATCGTGTCGCATAGCATTCCTGGACATTCAGCAGACTACAGCTTAAGAACCAACACAACATATTTCTTAAAACAGAAGGGAATCCAGGATTTTGACAAAAAACAATAACACACAATAGAAGGGACGGACAGATTGACCCGAAATGTGCCAAAACATGGGGAATACACCCCTCCCTCCAAAATCTTTTTGTTTATGAAGTTAAAGTTCAACCATGACTCCAAGGTTTTGTTTGAAATTGTAAAACCACGAGCATGATAAACCGATGAGAAGTGTTTTAACTAGCTTAGGAACCTTATGCAAGAAATATCAGAAGAAAAAGAGAACATCCGAGTACCTTATAGTGAAACAATACAGTAGTGGCATATAACAATGAATTTGATGACAGTTGGTGAGAGAAAGACAACTTGCAGCTTGCAGACAGCTGGAATCATGACATGAAAGACTGAACAACCACCATGTTGGCTCATTGGAAAGACTGTGGTTACAATATCAGGGGTGGAAAGAACCCATTGCCCGACGCCCGAGTCCAGTGTTTTTTTTTGTCGGGCATGCATATTTGTATATCACACTGTACCGGTGTCCAGTTGACTTTCTAATGTTAATTATGTTGTTTATTTAAAAAATCAACAAGAAAATCGGCCAGTATAGTGGAAAAATTATCAGGGCAAGTGATTTTACTTGTGCCACTGTACCGGAGAACACTAGCAATTTTAAAGTTATTTCCAGCCCTGAATATTAAATATGATATGTGACGTTGCACAGTTGAATAGTGTCATGGAACTTTCATGTAAAAAGACTGGGACTTTGAACCACTCATGAATCAACATCAGTGCATATTAAAAGGATATTTGGTGATAACTATTTCCAGTTAAATTTGAATTTCAATGGGTAGTAGAGTACTATTTACACCGTTTTTGGCAATATTCTAGCAATATTCCAGCAAGATCACGGCAGGAGACACCAGAAATGGGTTTCACACATTGTACCAACATGATTAATGGAACCCAGACTTTTGGCATGACGAAAAATGCGACTCAACCGTCCGAATCTCAAAGTCATTCTCTGAAAATGCCAAAAGCATGGATACCTTTTTACAGAGGGCTTGTCACTATTTGGAGAAACCATTACAATAATAGGACTACTTCATTAGAGGGTTATGAATATTTTCAACAAATAATCAGTGTTCACGAATAGCGTCTGACCCTCTGACAATCTGGCAGATTCGCCAACGGTCAGACAGAAGTCTACAACCTGCCGGCCCAAGTGTCTGACTGTATATTTCACAATGACTTTGACTGAAGTTGTTATATGTGACATGTGACACTTGTTTGATGTTTATAAATCTTATGTTTGTTAATAATTTCAATGTCAATTATAAGAAATATTAAATCTGAAATGTGTGTTTAATTTTATTCCAAGGGTCCTGTGCATTTTCAATGGGTCAGACAGACATCTGAAACTTACAGGACCCAATGTCCTGTGACTTTGAAACACCATTCGTGAACACTGCAAATTATTTCCATGCTTTGGTTTTTGATCATTGGTGTTTGCTGAGCCACCTCTCTGTCTTTTCTTCCAGGCTGACAGACAGAGAGGTGGCCCGGTAGGCAACACAGAGATTGGCAATGACGAGGAACTCACCGAGGAACAGCTTGATCTCATTTTACGATTCAATGACGCTATAGTAGACCTTCAGCACCGACAGGCACCAAGGCAACAGGGTGTCGGCCAGAACAACACAGCCAGTTTACAAAATCCTCTCCAGACACTGGCTGGCGGTGTTCAACCACTTCCTCGAGGGGAAGATGTTCCGGATCTAGATTCACATGCTCCATCTGATGAAGACAACAGTTCATGGGCATGACACAACGATGTTGTAACCAATATTGGAATGGATGCTAGTGTTTATTGCACTGATTTTGACTGATTGAGCATTTGTGGATCAGTGGATCAAGTTAACCTTTATCTGTGGAAGTGGTTAAAGTTTCTGACATATTGTGCCAGACGACCTAGTTGACTTTGAAAGCCCCGAGGGACCAGAAGCACTGTGTTTGTTTAAAACTGTTCTTCACTATACAGTTTAAAATTGTGTAAATACAATTGTAGTATCTCCCATTCTTTGAAGATATGATGTTGCCAAAGAGACAAGCTCCTCCTTACTGTCAAATTGTTTTTATACCTGGCAATAATGATTAACTTCTGAATAGGAGAGGTGTTGGGGTAGTCTAGTGGTTAAAGCATTCCCTCATTATGCTGAAGGCCCAGGTATGATTCTCCACATAGGTACAATGTGTGAAGCCCATTTCTGGGGTTCCCCGCCGTGATATTGCTGGAATATTGCTAAAAGTGGCGTAATACTAAACTCACTCACTCGCTCTGAATTGGAGATAACTCTGATTTTGTGACAGTGTGCATGCATTTACTAAGTGTGTTGCTTTGATGATGATGTTGGTCATTCAGGTGAGAGGAACATCGCACTAGTCATCTATACTCTTATACAATTTGGGGCGGTGGGGTAGTCTAGTGGTTAAAGTGTTCGTTTGTCATGCCTGGGTTCGATTCCCCACATGGGTACAATGTGTGAAGCCCATTTCTGGTGTCCCCTGACGTGATATTGCTGGAATATTGCTAAAAGTGGCATAAAACCATACTCACTCACTCATCAAACTTATACAAGTTTACAACATGATATATGATCAACATACTTTTCAAATCAGTGTTGACCTGTGAAGGTCCGGTTTAGAATGAGCCTTCAGTAACCCAAGCTTGTGGTAAGAGGCGACTAACAAGATCGGGTGGTCAGGCTCGCTGGTTTGGTTGACACATGTCATCGGTTCCCAATTACGCAGATCAATGCTCATGCTGTTGATCACTGGATTGTCTGGTCCAGACTCGATTATTTACAGACCGCGACCATATAGCTGGAGTATTGCTGCATGCGTCTTAAAACTAAACTCACTCATTCAGAGCAGTGTTGAACAAAACACAGTCATTCACTCCATGTGGCTTGATCTGCTGCCTTGCCTTGACAGGGCTTCTTGTGACCTGAATACTATCACCATAAGGGTCGAAATTTATGGATATTGACTTCTGTGATATGAGGAACATGGAGTTTCGGAGTGTAATCGCATTCGTTCATTCAACTGAAGTGTCTCAGATTGATAAGGGGTATGATATTGAAACTGGTCTTTATCACATCTGAAAAATGTACCATGTTTTAAGGCACATCACATACCCCATCTGTGAAAGGATTTTTCTGTATGGGAATGCTGTAAGAATTTTGTCGTGGAATTATTTCTTCATTTGTGGGAATGGTGTACATCTTGCTTGTTTTGGAGAACACTGTTTCTTTGGTGGTTACATTGCTAAAATATGAACACTTGTACAACTGTACACAGCTGTGATGCCCTGACAGATGCTTGAATCCTTCAGCAAGAGTGCCCCTAGGGATTATAGTCACCAGCAATACACCTAGATCGGTCGAAAGATGCAAGTTAGTGGATCACGTGATCAGGTTCATTGGCTTGGTTGTGACTCTGAGGACCGCAGCAACCCAGCTGGTCAAAAGAGGCAACTTAGTGGATCACGTGATCAGGTTCGATGGCTTGGTTGTGACTGTGACGGACCGCAGCAACCCAGCTGGTCGAAAGAGGCAACTTAGTGGATCACGTGATCAGGTTCGATGGCTTGGTTGTGACTGTGATGGACCGCAGCAACCCAGCTGGTCGAAAGAGGCAACTTAATGGATCATGTGATCAGATTCGATGACCTGGTTGTGATTGTAGAGGTCTGATACACAGAATAATCAAATACGAGAGCAGGGATGTAGAAAGGAACTTGATTGGGGTGCGGGTTTTAGAACATTGGTAGAGAAGTCCGCTTTTTCTTTGCTTCTAGTCACTGACTGAAATAAGTTTTGGAGAAGATCCCCAGCTTTAATTAGTGTGCCCTACATTGTAATATTATGTTCTGGCCATTCCTGGGGGCGGTGGGGTAGCCTAGTGGTTAAAGCGTTGGCTCGTCACGCCGAAAACCGGGGTTCGAATCCCCACATGGGTACAATGTGTGAAGCCCATTTCTGGTTTCCCCCTCCACGATGTTGCTGGAATATTGCTAAAAGCGGCGTAAAACCAAACTCAGTCAGTCAGTCAGTCTGGCCATTCCTGATGTGTAAGTCCAGTATGTTTGTATGTGGTGATGGAAAAATATAACTTTGTGATTGTTGAGAGACATCTCATTATCGATTCTAATAATGAGTCATTTAACCATGATGGGAACAAGGGTTGGCTATCGATATAGATCCTAGAGATTGATCATCTTAAAATGAATATCGATCGATTGTTGATAAATATCGAAGAAGTAACTTTGAGCAAAAATGACAAAATAAATCTGAAAGAAATCAACTCATTTCACAACAGCGGTGAGTGGTGACATATGTAGGCTTGGATTACCAACAAAACATCGTACTGAACATACTTTATGAACAACCCAGGAATAAAGACCTAACTTTGTGTTTTTTCTGAATAAATTAAAAAAATATTTTAATCACAATATTTCATGTACGATATTATTGATAACGCAATTTTCATGTCGATAATCATTAATAATGATTCCTATTGACTATATTTTCGATTATCTATCTTTTTAGCCAGCCCTAATGGGATCAACACTATTGAACTGCTTGAAAACATTACAGATGTATTATTGCATGAAAATTATTTGTGAAAATTAGAATTTATTGCCAGTATATGCACGATGTCTCAAAACCTCAATATTTCATTAATTGGCTCAATTTTTTAATTTTTTGGTTAGAAACTTTTCATCAGTCTCTTTGACAATGGAATATCTTTCCTAACCAAGAAAGTGTCAAGTTTTCATGTGATCATATTGTTGTATGTCTCACTACAAAGCAAGTGTTAGTATTTTTGTATTGCATTGAAATATAGTATGTTGACATTACTGGTAAGATGTACCTTTTAAACAATGACACAAAGTATAGGCATGTCAATGGAGACTCTTAATTTGAGATGACATACGTGATAATTTCAGTATTCCAAATCCCACAAGGATTCTAAACTCTTTCCTACACTCTCATGATGTTTGAGCCAAATACAATTAAGAAAAGGGGTCACCTTATATGATATGTGTGATCTTCTTCCCCAACCCCAAGGCAAACAGCTTCAGAATGAACCTTCAAAAGAGTCATACTGTCAATATTCATTAGTATATCATAGACCCTGAATGATATATAATTGTATTTATATATTTAACATAAATCGATTGTGTTCATAATAAAATGCGTTCACCTATTCATTTGTTTTTTCTTTGAATCTTTTTCAAGTGGAACATAATGTTTTTACTTCATTTTAATTTTGACTTCTTTTTATATGAAGTGCCATGTATTCAGACAGGTGTTAAAATTGGTTGCCAACACCCGTTGCTTGTCGTAAAAGGCAAGTACTTTGTTCTTATACCAGACTTCATTCTTCCTCACTTAAGGAGCAGTGGCCAAGTAATCTTAAGTGTAGAAATTCACTCTGCACGAGTTCATCCTCTTATCTGTGCATGGATCCACTTGGTGTGGACCAATTGTCCCTGTTTCTCCTGATTTATATGCTTGGTCTATAATACACATACACATGAAATATCTGCGACTTTGTCTAGTGGATACACCAGTTGCTTGTCATGTTGCTGACAAAGGTTCAATTCCCACATGGGTACAATGTGCAAAGCCCATTTCTGGTGTCCCCCGACGTGATATTACTGAAATATTTTATAATATTTCATTCTCTCCAGTAAGCAATACTATATACACCTATCTTTCCCGTTTCAAAAAGAACATGTTCACTAGCGAATAAAACTGATTTAAAAAACAATAATATGATTTGTAATTTAACTACTAACCTACCTTAAAAAATGTTTCCAGGACCTAGATTTTCGAAGCTCTCTTAACGCTAAGATAGTCGCAAGATAATGTTAATGTATGGCACTTACAACTATCTTAGCGGTAAGAGAGCTTCGAAAATCTAGGCCCAGATATAAGATAGGCGCTAAGATATAATTATTACCTTAACATGACCAGAATGCCATTGTACAAAGCGATCTTAGGGATAAGGTGATGGTAACTCCCATACCTTAAAATAGACTTACGACATCGTAGGGCTATTAAAGGTTGACTTGTGCTACGGCACCAAGCGCCAGGTTCCATAAGGCAATCTTATCACTTACCGGTACCACTGAAGTGATCGTAACTCCCATAACTTAACTAGACTTACGACAGTCGTAGTGCTAAGGTTGTGTTGTACAACAGCACCAAGCGCCAGGTTCCATAAGGCAATCTTATCACTTATCACTGAAGTGATCGTAACTCCCATAACTTAACTAGACTTACGACAGTCATAGTGCTAAGGTTGTCTTGTACAACAGCACCAAGCGCCAGGTTCCATAAGGCAATCTTATCACTTATCACTGAAGTGATCGTAACTCCCATAACTTAACTAGACTTCTTACGACAGTCAGTAGTGCTAAGGTTGTCCTGTACAACAGCACCAAGCCAGGTTCCATAAGGCAATCTTATCACTATCATCACTGAAGTGATCGTGAACTCCCATAACTTAACTAGACTTACGACAGTCGTAGTGCTAAGGTTGTCCTGTACAACAGCACCAAGCGCCAGGTTCCATAAGGCAATCTTATCACTTATCACTGAAGTGATCGTAACTCCCATAACTTAACTAGACTTACGACAGTCATAGTGCTAAGGTTGTCTTGTACAACAGCACCAAGCGCCAGGTTCCATAAGGCAATCTTATCACTAAGATGAATATCAGCCTATTAAGTATGAGACTTGCAATCGTCTTAACTAAGAGAACTTAGTGAAGTTGAACTCTGGGCAGTGAAATGCCAGTGTTCTATTATCCGGCAAACAAAGTGTCTGAAAATGGTATAATGTTTTCACATCTCTAACCCATGAAGATCCAGGTAAGAATTGGTCTTCAGCAACCCATGCTTGTCGTAAGAGGCAACTAATGAAATCAAGTGGTCATGCTTGCTGACTTGGTTGACATGTCATCGTATCCCAATTGCGTAGATCGATGCTCATGGTGTTGATCACTGGATTGTCTGGATTATTTACAGACCGCCGCCTTATAGCTGGAATATTGCTGAGTAGGGCATTAAACAACAAACAAACAAACTTCACATCTCCCTTGCAGGACTGCTACTAACTACTTTTTACATGACCGCCTCCGTGGTGTGGTGGTTAGAGCGTCCGCCCGGAGAGCGGAAGGTCGCGGGTTCGATCCCTGACCGCGTCATACCAAAAAGATGTTAAAATATGGTACTTGATGGTCCCTGCCTGGCTCTTGGCATTAATGGTAGGGCTTCCACGGGTACTCGAGTACCCGAGGACGAGTCGGGTTTAGCTGGACTCGAGTCCATTTTCAAGAACTCGAGGACTCGAAAAGGGGAGATAGCTCGAATTATTTGACGTTGACAGACTGTATGCCATGTGCTAAGCATGAGCGGCCGTTAATGTCTAATATTAAGATAAGATATAACTTTATTACCCCGGAGGAAATTCTTATACATCCAAACTGTCTCAAAATGAATATATACACAATTCACAAAAATATACACAATAGTTACATGCTCAAAACGAATGCTATTTACAAATAAAACTGACATGATATTATTCAATTAACCACATAGGTAAAGAGGCTGAATAATTCTAGTTCTAATCACATGATGGTGATTCAAAATATTTGTTGCATTCACAAATACTTGATGGTATGAAAGACTGTCAAG